GTGACAATAACTGACAATAATACAATCTGTATCATTGGTGATTCTAACAATAACTTTGAAATAAGAGGAATGGTATAAATGTGATGCTCCCTGGTTCCTGATACAAAGGGCACACTCAAATTACCCATGGGACAACAGAAAGTACAAATAGGTCCATCTCAAAACAGGGCAAACTGCAAAAGGCAAAAATGGCCCACTCATCTGGAGAAGCCGAGGGATAACGGTGCTGCAAACAGTTCAAGCAGCTTTAAAAGTTATGTAGGAATCAGGAAAAGTATTTTTAAAAAAAGTATTGATAGACCTAGAGGTTTTTATGGTGTTGATCTCGCATGCAGATTCTCTGATGGCTAACATGGGTTGAGTACCAAGAGAAGGTATTCCCACACTCACTGTTTTCATAGGGTCTCTCTCCTGCGTGCATTCTCTGATGTTTAGAAAGGGCTGAGTTATTAGTGAAGCATTTTCCACACTCACTGCATTCATAGGGCCTCTCCCCTGTGTGGATTCTCTGATGTTCAGAAAGGCCTGATCTGCGAGTGAAGATTTTCCCACACTCACTGCATTCATAGGGTGTCTCCCCTGTGTGGATTTTCTGATGCCTAATAAGGTGCGAACTGCGATTGAAGGTTTTCCCACACTCACAGCATTCATAGGGCCTCTCCCCTGTGTGGATTCTGTGATGGAGAAAAAGGCCTGTTCTGTGAGTGAAGTTTTTCCCACACTCACTGCATTCATAGGGTCTCTCCCCTGTATGGATTCTCTGATGTTCAGAAAAGGCTGAGCTCTTAGCAAAGCATTTTCCACACTCAGTGCATTCATAGGGCCTCGCCCCTGTCTGGATTCTCTGATGGAGAAAAAGGCCTGATCTGCGAGTGAAGATTTTCCCATACTCACTGTATTCACAGGGTTTCTCACCTGTGTGTATTCTCTGATGTTTTATAAGGGCTGAGTAGTCATGTAAGTTTATCCCACACTCAGTGCATGTATTTTTTCTCTTTCCCATGAGGATTTCCTGTGGGGTTGTGGTTTCCTTGATGTCCTTCTGAGTTCCCCAACAGGAAATAAATTTACCCACTTTCTCCCCTGGCTGGTTTCCTTGCTCTCTTTCTGGTCTGTGCTGAATCTCACAGGAGTTTCCCTGCTCATGACTCCTGGACACATTCCTTTTTGGTCTTTGCGATAATTCTCTGTGTTTATCCACTTGCTCAACATTTTCCTGCTGAGAATTCTGTTCCTCTTTGTCACATACCATTGCATCACCTGCTGTGATAGAGACAGAAACCTCAAACAGGGATGGAAAGGGGAAGGCCAAACCAAAACAAGTGCTGAAGAGAGGTCAAATAAAAACCAGGAACTGAACTTCCCAAAACTTTTCCCCCAAATGTAGTAGTAGGATTTTATGTTTGTATTTTATATAATTTAGAATGAAGGATAATAATGTAGCATGTATTAAATGTATTGATGTATGATCTGATCATATCCTGCCAGCCACCCTTTTTGAATAAGAGAAAGGAATGGCCTAATGGGCCAATGGGTAGAGATACATCAGCCAGAAGCTGTGTCTGGACTGATTTCAAGGCAGTAACAGACCTTTGAGGGTCACCAATTTATTGTAGGTTTAGCATTTTCAAATAAGTAAAAGAATGCCATGATTGTTTTCTTTTGCATTGCAATTTGATGTTCCTGTTCAAAATGTTCTGTGTAAATTAATTCTGTTTTGTGTGTGAATGAGGAATGTATGTGTTAAGAGATAAGTGTGAAGGCCATCGCTGAACCAGATGTATGAGGAAGGAACTGGAGACAGATGCAAGGGCACCAGGAGGCTGCAACACACCCATATTGAAATGTCAGAGGAGGGCAGACTGACGACTCTAAAGATAAGACAGGCACCTACCAGTGGGGACAAGATAGCTGTGATCAAAACCAACATGGAACAACTCCCTGAGGAACTTGATGAAAGAACAAGATAAAGGATGAGAAGGACAATTTAAGAAAACAAACACTCATCAAACAACAATTGATTACAGTATGACGGTGCAAAACTCATTGGTCCCAATGAAGGAAAATCGCTATATAAACAGGGTGCCTTGCCATGAAACTTTGGGTTCATCCTGCCAAGACTTCCCCAGAGCATCGTGTCGCGACCGACTGAACCCGGCTCCTCCCTACCAGTGATGAATCTAAATGGCCACTAAGTTTATCCGGACTCTGGACTGTTAACTATAAAATCGACAGGCGGGACAGTGTGTGTGTGTGTGTGTGATTGAATGCATATGCTAACTGTTATATCTTCAATAAACGCAGTGTATTTCCTTTTCCCCTGAAAGAGATCTCATGTGCTTCTTATAAGCATAACAGGGTAACGTCCACAAGATAGATAGCTAGCACATCTTGGAGGGACTGTTGAAATTAAGTGGTTCATCAAGACACACTTGGTTGACAATGGACCATTGGAGAAGCCCATCTACACTGAGTGGACTGTCATGTAAATGTGCTGTCTGGAATGTAGGTAATGGCTTCCTGCAATGACTGAGGGAAATTGGGCATGAACATGTGACTTGCCCATGCGACTCCAAACTCCAGCTTGTTGCTGTAATTTTCCACAGTAAGAACAATGGGATGCCCTCCACATGGCAAAAACTATAAAAGGCCCTGGAAACACCTCTATTTTGTCTTCAATCCTGCTTCTTACCTCTGGAGGAACTTTGCTACAGACCAAAGCTCTGAACAAAAGACTGAATGACCCATCGAAGCTGTGGATGAACTCCAGAGACTTGACTTAAACCAGCACTTTATTCCATCACTGCTAAAAGCCTGAACCAAGAACTTTGCCATTACGGTATGTAATTGATTCCCTTAGACAATTTTAACTCTCACCTTTCTTTCTTTTTATGAATAAACCTTTAGATTTTAGATACTAAAGGATTGGCACCAGTGTGATTTTTGGGTAAGATCTAAGTTGTATATTGATCTGGGAGTGGCTGGCCCTTTGGGATCAGAAGAACCTATTATTTAATGACACTGGTTGTAAAGAACCACTCATCTCTGAATCCAGTGTTTTTGCTGGTGTTATAAGAACTGGAATGCCTGAGAAAATTGCCTTTATGTTTTCTTGTTATGCAGTGTGGTGAAACAGGAGTTGACTTTTGTGGCTGGTTTGGTCTATCTTATAAAAGAATAACTACTAGTTTTGGGGTGTGTTTGATGTATTTCTGAGTAGTTCATCCTGAATTTGGCATCCTCAGTTGTGACCCACTAAGGCATGGTGACAGGGTGCCAAAGGAGGGGGCTGGGTCATGGATTTACAGGGAGTTAGATAGGGTTACCATATTTCAGCAAGCAAAAAA